CCCCGCCCCATCTCACTCCCAACACAGGCAAGTTCTGGGGGAATTTCAAGTAAGGCAGGATGGTTGGGAAAGGGACTATTTAAAGCGAGCTGCTTTGGACTTGAATACCCTGATCCCGGGCTGAAACATCTGTGTTTAGCTTCTCGAGCAGCCCATAATTGCCCCAATTATAACCAATAACATTGTTCGGCAGACTAACAAAAGATGAGCTTCGCACTGCGTTTGCCAGCAAGTCCAAACCAGAGTCCTCAACACAGAAGGGGAAAAAAGTAGCTGCCTGGCTTCTTATCAAAACCTCCCAAAGAAAACACTGCTCTTTCCCTCTGCCTGTGGGTGACTGCCCCGCACACCCTCCTTTCCAAAGCGCTGCGGGGAGATTTTCTACAAGCTCCCCCAATGCCCCGATACCTTTAACAGAAACGATTCCTGTTCCTTGGGCTCGCTGAGTCTCCTGCAGGGGCAACTGTCCAAATGCCACCTTTCAGTAAAATGAGCAGCTTTTGCCTTTCCCTGTGCTCCGGCGCCGCCTGTCCAGCGTGCTGTGTTGCAACCTAGGGTCGTCTTTTTGGGGTGCAGTTTGTTCCTCCAGGGGCAGCATTGCCGCTTTATCAGCTGAAGGCTGGGGGTACTTAGGGATTTAGACAACGCAGGGGGCTTTGTGTCAGTGAAGGGAGTAATTGCAGGATTAGGCTGCAAACCAGAGCTGTCACCAAGCTATTTCATCTTCAATCAATCAGGTATTTATCGGCTACACGCACCAGGGCTCCAGAGATGCCACAGAGGTGATAATAACAGCCCTTGACGGTGGCGCAGTGATTTAGGCACTTTCACACCCATTATCCCGGCAGCAGCCCGGGATTATCTCCAAGTTGCAGTTGAGACCTAAGCTGAGAGGCTCAGTAATTTGTTCCTTGCGTGACAGACAGACACAGGACAGAGCGCTGCCGTCCCGGCTCCGGCCAGGGTCCCCCCAACAGTCGAGGGTGCTCACAAACGAATACAAGGACCCAACACAAACACCTGTGCAACCATCGGAGGACAGCGCAGGGCTGGGTGTGATTAACCTGCATCACCCGCAGAGCAGGTGCTGGAGGGACTTGGGGAAGGGGCATTTCCTCCAGGATCCTAGGAATTGAGCCCACTGCGGAGAGGGCTAGAATTTGAATGGGTCAGGGGCTTTGAAGAGGGAGGTGGCAGCAGAGACCAAAAACAAAAGGAAGGCAAAGGAGTGAGCATTTCTTGAGACCGGCTGGGCTGCCGGGCATTGAGCTCAGCTTCTCTGCGAGCTTCTCTCGCTAACACATGCGCAGGGCCAAGTGCGCCGCTCAATCACGCACTCTAGGTGTGTGGATGTGGTTCTAAGATCCTTCTTTCCCCGGCTCTCTCGTTCCCCAAACCACAAGAGCCCTGTGAAACCCCGTGTGTCTGGGTGCGGGTGGAGCTCCCCACCAGGTACCTCAGGAGAGGAAACGGGAGTCATCGTGAGCGTAGCTGACAGGGGCTTGAATTGCTGGCAACTCACCGGCAAACTGGGTTTTCCAACCACTTTTGCTGAAGCGTCTGCAGTTGGACCTATCGTCTAACAGAAATGTTTCCTTCTAGCCACAAACTAGCTGAGCGACTAGGGGCTCACTACTTTGGGGGACAAGCTGACTTCCTGGGCCCCTCCCTTGACGGCTGCGATCACTTTCACTCAGGCTCGCAGAGAGCTCCCGAGGGCCCAGCCTGTCTCACCAGCCGTCACCCAGAGTGGCCCCGAGCCAACCCCTCGATCCTCTGATCTCCCATCACTTCTCCATCCCATTCATCCTCTCCTTCAGCCAGCCAGGAACACGTGCAGAGTTCCTGGTGGAGCCGCCATGCCAGGGCCAGGGCCACAGAGCCGCAGAGCCCTTGGCTTGCTGCATGTTCATAGTCAATGTCGCCCAATGTGGAAGCCCAGGCCAGTGGGCCTGCAGGGGCAAGCCTGGGCTTCCGGAAATGGAGACTTTTATTTTGTTTTCTCTTACTTTCTTAATCTGTACTTCAGTGGATTTTATAATGTATGTAACTACTAAACAAATAAAGTGGGAATGTGTGCTAAAACTGATGCTAAGCCAGGCCTGGTGGCGTGTGTGTGCCTGAAATCCCGGTACTCTGGGAGGCCCAGGCAAGAGGATCACAAGTCCCTGTCTCAAAGTAAGAAATAAAAATTATTTATTTTAAAATAGCTAGTAGGAGTTTTGTTCCCACACAAAGAATGATAAGCACTTGAGGTGATGGATATGCCAGTGACCCCGATTTGTCAGGCATCACATACAAGTATTGAAATGTCACACTGCACCCTATAAATAGGTACAATTATTTTGTCAATTTGAAGTTTTTTTAAACACTGATTGCTAGAGGTACAAAGTTAGAGAAGGTTGGAGATTATTGGTCTATATCCATTGCTCTCTTGTCTGTATTTTCTAATCTTTTCGCAAAGAGCACAGAGTGATTTTATAAAAGCTTTTAAAAGTCTATTTACATTATCTTGGCAGTATTTGGGGAGCAGGTGCCAGGAGGACAGTTAAGCATCTCCCTTTCTGCTGTGGCACCTCAGCCGCCTCCTGAAGCCGCACTCCATGAAGTTCTCTCCTTCTTACTTTAGCGGAAAGGACAAATATCTGGCCATTCATAGAACACACTATTAACCATCTACCCAACTGCCTTTGCAAAAGGAGAAACTGAGGCCTAGAGGAAGAAAAGGCCTGGCTAAGGTCCCATGGGTAACACAAAGCCGAGTCTAGGACCCAGAGCCCTTGTCTCCATGCACTCAGCTTCTGCTCATCCCTGGCCCCCGCCCGGGCATCCTGGGCCTGTGTAGGATGGGCAGTTGCTTTGTCCCTGCCCTCTATGTTCTATTCCCCTCTTTCCAGGCGGAAACTGAGATCAGAACAGAGACCTTTGTAAGAGTAAATGTACCCATCGGAGGGGGAAAAGTGTCCAAAGCAGTTTCCCTCAGTGTCAGTTGGCTCCTCATAGGAGTCTTGTCTGAGAGGGTCTGAGGACCAGGGGTGAAGAAGAGCCCACTTCCTCTGCACAGTGTACTGCTGATGGACCCGACAATCCCTCCCTGGATGGAGGAGGGGGCAGCCGAGAGGCTGTGATCTGAGAAGCGAGCCTGGAGCCACAGAAAGTCCTTAGACTGCCGCCTGCATGACCACAGACCAGCAGGGGGAAAGCTTGGAATGGTGGCTGGGGGACCAGAAGGCTTTGCCCCTTCCTGTTCTGTCTTCTTCAAGGTTCGGTTTCTTCGCCTGTCAAACGGGGGCGATCACACTTACCCCAGAGGGTGGGTGCTTATGAAGCCACTGGCACTGGGCCTGGCACAGCACGCTCTACTTGCAGTAGTCATGGGATTACTTTTGTTTTTGGTACCAGGGATCGAACTCGAGTTCTTGCGCTTGCGAGGCAGGCCGCAGAACCACTGAGCTAAATCCCCGGCCCATCATGGGATTACTTTTAAATACAGATTCCATTCCAAGATTCCACCAGAATTTGCCAACCTTCCCAAAGCAGAAACCGTATGGAGTTTATAGTTGCCCAGAACTCACAATTTGAAGTCAAAACACCTGAGTTTAAGCCTTGGCTCTGCTATTTATTAACTGAATGATCTCAGGCAAGTTGCATAATCTCCATGAGTTGATGTTTCTCACAGAAAGAGGGTAAAATTAAGTCTAGGTTGTAGGGGTGTATGTGAATATAAACATCATCTGTAACCTGTAAAGGATAATGTTCCCTACGTGTAACTGACAAAAGGGGTACATATTCTAGAAGAAAGGAGGTCCCACTAAAAGCACCAAAATTATAGGTTTCCTCATAGGTCATAAAATAAAACTCAACTAGGGTTTAGCTGCAGCTGAAGGTGCATAGGTAATCCTCAAACAGAAGAGCAACTAATTTCGTTGCCCTAGGAAGCAAGAGTACACGCATATAGATGAAGGCTAAGTTCAGAGTAGTGTTTGATCTTTATAAACAGAGAGACATAATCAAGTTTATGAGCTGTCATTACCTATATAAAAGGTAATTGAACATTTCTTGATTTGATACAAAATGCCCTGATTATACTATTGCCACATTGAATGGTTAGCAGAGCTCAGCTCATAGATGAAGCACAAGCCACGTGAAATTCAAACAGACTCGGGCATATTATAGCTACTAATGGTCATTTGTTGGCTAATAAATAAATGGAAAAAACCTGTCATCACCGCCATTTTGCAGTTGAGAACACTGAGACTCTCTGAGATGAAATAAGCCACCTGCAGTCACACAATTGCAAAGGATGTTTAAACCAAAATACAACTCATGAATTAACGAACCACTCACTCTCTTTTTAATGACATCAGTGTGTATGGAGCTTCAAACCCACATACAGATGTAGTTAAGATTTCTTAAAAATTAAAAAATTTTTGAGGTGGGGGCTCTGTGGTAGAGCACTTGCTTAGCATGTATGAGGCCCTGAATTCAATTCCCAGTACTGGGGGGAGAAATGAAATCTTCTACTGAGCTTTCAAAGTTTAAAATCTAATACATCCCAGCACATAGTTGTACTAGGTGCTCTGAGGAGTACAGAATTACAAAATGCCTCGTTACAATGGTATTCTATGTATTTAGAGTTTCTGCTTAGGGCAATTGTCCCATTTAATGACGGTAGGCCACCTGTGACGTGGGACTGCATTGTCCTTCCCACTCGGCGGTTCTTTGACTTGCAGGGGAGAATCGAGTAGCATGGAGTCTAGATGTGTTCTTAATAATAGATGGAGCCACGTGTTAAAAGTGAGGGTAGAAATGAAAGATTATAGGGAACAAGGAGACGGATTTTTTTGCAAATGAGAGGTGATCAAGGAATGGACAGAGGAGAAAAGAAAGAGCACACACAGAGAATTAAAATGTGCTATGTACGAGGGTCGGTCCCTCACAATGAATGTAACCCTTACGTGCAGCGAACATGCACTAATCCAAGTAAAAGGCAAGGGTAGACTGGAAGGGAGACTGGGGACTGGACAGGAAGAGTCTCAGGCCACGGGAAGGGCCTGGCGAACACCGAGTGGATTCGATGCAGTGTTCTTCAAAATCCAAACAAAGGGACCTCATGTTTTCCGTGCAGGCCAGCTACCCAGTGCAGTGCACAATGATTGTCCCAGGACCTCATCTCCCAGCTCCTCCGGGCCCCTAAATCCTATTTACCCCGAGTTTGAGATCACAAATATCAGTCAACGCACCGGCCGCTTCCTGCATGTGAAGTTGCCTCGGTTAATGACACTCATGAAAAACCTCAGCGGGGAAGCGTTTCGTTAACATCTGTCACAACTTTCCAGCTCAGCTTCTGCACACATGGTGTGCTGCACCGGCGCCAACCCCATCCCTCCTCCCATCCCTGCTTCCAAGACATTCCGCCACTGCCCTCCTGTGGCCATGGAGGCCACAGCCATGTCTGCTGACTAGAAAGATGAAAAGTGAGTAGAATAAGAAACGTGAAGGCAAGTCTCAAATGAAACACAGGAAGGGTTTAGGCAGTCCTCAGACTGGGTTGTGTCCTGGAATATCTGTGTGTAGGTAGTGGCTATTCAGGATGTGAGATATATTTTCACTCGGGAACAAAAGTTTCCTGACCTTGCCTACCAACTCCTATTTTACCTACACAGGCCAAGCACTGACCCTCACCCCACCTGTGCCTAATGGCCGTTTGTAGCCTGTCTTCTACCAGGCATGCACTGGGGTCCCAGCTTGGGATGGTCCAAGGTTGCAGTATAGAGTGCTTAGTGCTGGGAGAGAGCCAGCGGCAGCCCCATGGCGTGCATGCTGCGTGCTGTGCTCGCTTCCCTAGAGAAAGAGCTTGTTATGCCTTAGGTGCTATTTTGACTGCTCACAAACACAAACCCACTAATAGTTACCTGAGATTGGCATTAGGGTTCTCCCAGTTTTACAGGTGAGGAACTGTGGGGTTAAGTACAGCTAGCAAGTTACCAGACTGAGATCCAAACTCTGGAGACCCTCTACTGAGCAGATGAGAAAATGCATATCATACAACTCCGCAGCACTGCTCTGGGGCAGCTGTGTCACAGACGTGGCACCTGAGGCTCGCTTGCTTCCCATTCTGCTGTGTCAATTTGGAGTGCCAGAGCAGCAGATAGGTCAAGCTCAGACCACAAGATGGCAATGGCTTTCCAGGTGACCCTTCCTGATGTGCACATGAAGCATGAGTTGGAGTAGGGTGTTCCAGGAGGGAGCAGCCAGTCCCAAGCTACAAAGACACTAAGAGTCTGATGTGGCTGGGAACTGTACTTCGTGGGACTGGAAATGACACCAGAGTATGTGAGAGGTGAACCAGGAGCCAGTGCTCAGCCGAGTCCTTGGAACGCCTCCTGGTAGCCTTGGGTGTTATAGAATTATTTAAAGTAGGAAGTGACATCATCAGATTTGGACATGGCTTGGAGGGAAGCCAGATCATTAGGTGGACTAATTGGGAGGCTATTACAATAACAAGGCAATGAATCTCAATTCAGGCACTGGTCCTTGGGATAAAGATGAAGAAATTGCATCTGAGATATATTCATGGATATAGACGTTGGTGCTCATTCTTCGTTAGCCTGAGACACCCCGTAGCTGAAGAATAAAAGGCATCCCCTCTAGGAGGGCAAACAAGACTGCTCCATCTGGACCCAGCCCCTTTCAGCAGGTGCTGACCTTGTAGAGTGGGGCAAGTGACCCGAGAGGCATCTGCCTGCTCACCAGCCCCCAACGGGTTATGATCCAACACCCTGGTCCCCTTGAAAGTGCTGCTTCCTGGGTCTCTGGTGTCGGTGCCTCTAGGAAAACTCTTACTCATTTTCCACACCCATCTCCACTGTCAACCCATGGACTTAACAAACATTACTGCCACCCTCATAGTCACTGCCCTCGTGGTCTGAAACTATGCTGCACAAGAAGAGCCAAGTGGTTCCCCAGTGTGGCCAGTGGTGGCCTTGGCTGCAGGTCCCCTCCCTTTTCTTGTTGCCCAGCTGCATTTCACACACTTCTCACACCCACACCTCTGTCAGCTGTCAAACTCTGTCAGGCCTACAAAGCACCTCAGAGTCCTGCTGAATACATGGGTCTTGATTCAATGGTTTGGGAGTGGGACCTGAGATTCTGCATTCTCCCAAGAGCCCAGAAAGTCTGCAGACCACACTTGAATAGCATGTCCCCATACATTTTCTCAGGATAGGCTGCTGAAAAAGGAACAAGGCAATTATCTTTGGTTTTCTAGGTTGAACTCTTTGTTAAAGGAAATGTTACATACATTGAGGTGCACAGAATTTAATTATACGATTTAATGGGCTTGGATAAATACATACACTCCTTATGACCTCAACTGAGACTGTTCCTATTTCCAAGAAATTCTTCGTTCCCTTGTCCATTTAATCTTCCAAGTAAAGACAGTTCAGCAGGGGTCCAGAATGATGCAGTCTGAGGAAACAGCTTTTTGATTCAAGAAGCTTGATCCAAGGAGAAATTTTAAAGAGGAACAAAAGAAACTAAACCCATCTTTCAGCCAATCCTGTGTACAAAATCTACTGGTCTAACTAATCATTGGTGCTACTATCTTAGAATAGTTTCTTTATTCATTTTTCTATAAATAATTCCAAGCACAGGCCAGCTCCTGTGCCTGACATGGGGTGGTCAGGTGAACATCATGGCCCTGGGCCCAGGAAACCAACTGTCTTTGTCCTTTTGGCTGCTATAACAAAATGCCCTGTGGATGTCTTATAAACAACAGCAATGTATTGCTCACAGTTCTGCAGGCTGGAAAATCCATGATCAAGATGCCAGCAGATTCATGGCTCGGGGACCCATGCCCTGGTTCATAGATGGAAATATCTTGCTGTGTCTTCACACAGTGGCTGGGGCTCTCTAGCGCTCGTGAATGTCTTTGATAAGAGCATTCATCCCTCTTATCTAATCCCTCCCCAAGATCCCACCTCCTAATGCCATCACCGAGGGGTTTAGAATTTCAGCTTGTGGAGTTTGGAAAGACATGGGCACTCAGACCATAGCACAGACCCTGGGGACTTGTGCATGCCTGGCCGGGCCAGGGCAGGCTGGGGAGCATGAGAGGAAGGCCCTGAGTCCTTCATAAATCTCAGATTTTACTCACAGCACTCTCACACAGCGCTTTGCAAAACCCCCTTGCAAGATCTGATTTCATCTCCATAACAGAACTATGACAAGGCAGGTGCCGCCATCCCCTTTTATAGCAATGGAAATTAAAGTTCGGAGAGGCTGACTTAGTTAGAGTCACAAGCCGGGCAGCTGCAAAGTGACATCTGGGCTCCTGGTAAAGCCGTCTCTGCCAGCCTGCAGCTGCTCCAGGAGCAGTGCTGAGGCTGGCGGAGTGGCAGGAATCAAGGCACCCTCCCCAGGCACCCAGACCCTAGTCTGTGCGTGAACTTAGTCCTGGGGAACAGGAACTGGCACCCTGAGGACCTGCTGCTCCCTTGCAGGAGGCAATCTCACACCTGGAGGGTGTCCTGTGTCCCCCCAGATGACTGGGCTAACTACTGTGCATCCTCCTGTGTGTTTCAGCACCGAACCCCCTGCTCCTGCACCATGAAAATCCTGCTCTGTGACCTTCTGCTGCTCACCCTCCTCTCCAGTGTCCTCAGCAGTTGTCCCAGGGACTGCCTCACCTGCCGAGAGAAGCTCCGCCCCACTCCAGACAGCTTCAGCCTGGAGGTAGGTCCTCCTCCCTCCCGCTCTGAACAGGACCCTGGGCAAGAAACTCCATCCTCTCCCGTGGGTCTCCTGTCCAGGGTCTCATGGCCAGGAGGAAACAGATGTGGACTTGAACTGCATCTTCTGAACCAGAACCCTGGGGTCTTTCCACTTTACCACCTAATAGCAAAGACCTGCCCACCCTGCCTTGTCATTTCCAGTATTAAAATAATGCTTCTTAGCTAGGCAGGGCAGTGCATGACTGTAATCCCAGTAGTCGGCTGAGCCAGGAGGATCACCAGTTTGAGCCCAGCCTAGGCAACTGAGCAAATTAGTGATACTCTGTCTCAAAATAAAAAACAAAGAAGGGCAGGGATATTGCTCAGAGCAAAGGCCCTGGGTTCAATCCCCAGTACCCACAAAAATAAATACATAAGTAATTAAATGAAAGCATCTTTAATCCCAGCAGACAGAGAAAGAATCCTACTTCTTCCTCTTACTACAGTATCCAGGATAATGTTATTCCACATCCTTTGAAGTTCTTTCTTCCCACAAATATAGCATCACCTGCTTTGCCATTGCCACCTGCTGAACACGTATGTTGCCTCCGTTTTTGACATTACAGGTAATCCTGCAATGAACCTCCAGGTACCCAAAATGCTCTCTTGTATTTTAAATTTCCAACTTGAGGTACAAATCCAGTGTTAAATTTTTGTTCACTAAACAAACTGGGGTTTTTTTACCTCCTTCACTTTCAGCCTAGTTAGTCCTCTCCTATTAAATCCAGTATAATTCAATTATTTTTTTCCCTTTGAAGTCAATTAAACATCTTCCAAGAGGCCACATTTCAAACCCCTCAGTCTTTCAAAACAACCGAAGCAGCTACTGTTCCTTACGGCAAATTCACAGGTGGAGAGTGCGGGATCCGTGTTGGGTTACTGCCTTGCCATTGCCCAGCTCCAGGTAGCGGTGAGCACCTTGTAGCAACAGTCAAGGCCAGCGCATCCGTCCCTCTTTCCCGTCCGCTGCATTTTCCTCCAAGGACCTGCCCTGCCCTGCATCAGGAACCCTGTCCTCTCTTGGGTCCTGCTCCTTCCTCCCTCAGGCTACTCTTTTCCAGCCTTCTATGTTGGCTGCTGTTCCTCTCTGTACCGCCTGAACGTAAGAGAGACCCTACATGTAGCCTGGTGGGGTGTTGCACCCCTGTAATCCCAGCACTGCAGGGGGCTGAGGCAGGAGGGTCACAAGCTCAAAGCCAGCCTGGACAAGGCCCTGTCTCAAAAGAAAAACTAAAAGGAGGCTGAGGATTTAGCTCAGTGGTTCTGTTGCCTGCCTTGCAAGCACAAGGACCCAAGTTCGATCCCCGGTACCAAATAAAAGGAAAACTAAAAGGACTAGGGACAGCTCAATGCAAAGACTCAGGGTATAATCCCCAGTATATGAGAGAGAGAGAGAGAGAGAGAGAGAGAGAGAGCCTCTTCCATCTCCCTCCCCATCCCATCTCCCTCTGAGATCCCATCCACACATCTCAGCTCTCAGCTCTCACCTTTCCCTGAGGCAGGTAGCTGACCGCCTCTCTCCTGGCCTCAGAGCCACATTCCCAGTCGGCTTCCATGCTCCCAGGAAATGCTACCTTCCTCCTGCCCAGCCCTCTGGCCTGCACCTGACTCCCTTCTCCCACCTACTCACACCTCAAAGCTCAAATTCACTTTCACCTCCTAGGACAGTGAGAGCGAACCTTTTAGAGCCTTCAGTCCTAATGAACAGCTGGCTGTGGCACACTTGCTATAGGTTCCCCAGCACTGTTCTAGATGGCTTTGCTGATTCATGATTGCAGGGTCGGGGCAAAAATGGGGCTTTCATCCAACTAAGCCAGAGGCTTCCAGGAGTCCCAGCCAGAGACAGGAGGGCAGGAGGGAGTGACCAAGGTCAGGAAAGGCAAGAGGGGCTGGGCATGTGCCAGGGTCAGACTAGTGGACAAGGGTGGCTCCACTGCAGGCCAAGGGAAGCCGAGCCGAAGCAGAGCTCCTGCTGGCTCTGGTGATGGGAAATCCCCACCCCAGCTGGAAGTGATTGAGGTGCAGCCTGCGTGCCTGACCTGCCTACATCCCCAAGGCTAATGTACAAGACGTGACTCAAAAACGTTTACATTTTTAAAAAATATATTACAGTAACAGACATTGCCATGAATCCCCCTCACTCCTGCCTTGCCTCGAGCACACATATCTCATCATTCTTGGCAGTTTCTGAAGCAGTTCTGGAAGTCCTCTTTCGTGAGTTTCTTTAACTGTGCTGATATGGCGATGTCCGTGTCCTGAATCAGTTCAAAATGTTTACCTTTCTTGGTCATTCTGAGTTTGGGGAAAAGCCAGAAGTCCTATGGTATCATATCTGGTGAATAATGTGGATGAGAACACACTGCATGTAATATTTTTACAAACCTGCCTTTCTATTGGATGGCACTTGGAGGCAGCATTCACTATATTGTTCATACTTCATAAAGATCCCAAAGAGGACTTGCAGAACAGCTTCTGAAAGTGGCAAGGACAATAGAATAAGTGTATACTAAGTGAGGGGTGTTCATGGCAATGTGTCTTTTACTGTTATAAATTTTTTAAGTCACCCTCCTTTGTCTTTTGTTTTTGGTACTGGGGATCAAACTCGGGTCCTTGTGCTTTTGAGAACTGAGCTAAATCTCCAGCCCCACCCTTGTTTGTAGAATGAAACGTAACACCACCAAGGTTCTTTACAAAGTGACCTGCAAATACAACCTGATCTTCCCCAGGCCTGATGAGAGAATGAAATAAAATTGTAAGATCTTCCATCTCCTACCTGGCACACCCACTGCGGCCAGGGAAGGGTTTTTACGTTTGCATCTTGTAGAGGTAGTAAAGAGCTTGGGACATATTTCCATCTCTCCAATGCATCTCAAGTTTGGGGGCTCAAGACAACACTCACAGCTTTACTTCTTTGAAATAAGTCAGAAAACAGACCTGTAAAGGCCTCACGATCAGTGATAAACACTTCACAGTGCTCCCAGGACCAAATGCCTTCTTGTTTTTGTTTCTCTTTCATATTCACTTTTAATCTATTTTTAAATTTACCAAAATGCCAAGAATGTAAGTAATCACTCCTCACTTCCAAATCTGGCAACTTTTGGGTACGTCCACTCTGTGAATGATGAGGGTCTCATGTCTCCTGTCTGCCCACCAGATTACAAAATCCTGAGCTATTGCCGTGTCCTCTGGACCCATGGCTTCATCAAGAATTTTTCTATTTGTGCTCCTGATAGACGGCTGGCTTTTTGTCAAACTATAATTTTGACTCACAAACCCAAACCCACTGCACATCCTAGCCTTTCACCTAATTGTGATTGATTCTTCCTCTGTCCATTCAAGTAGAGGAAAACCAGATTCACTGAGTTGTTTTAGAGACAAAGAATAAGGCAGCTAACCCCCAAGAAACAGTCTGGGGAAAGACGTTGAATACTTACTAAAACTCTATTGCAAAAGGAACTACTATCTTCCTTCAGAAAAGGAAACTCTTGCAGGAGAAGCTCCTCATATGGCTTGTCTCTGTGCTGCTCCTCTTGGTGCCCCTAAAGTCCATCCTCGAATGTCCTAGCTGCCCCTCTTGGAGCAAATAGCCTCCAGAGGTCCCTTGGCCAGAAGTAGTTTGCTCAGTGACTTTCTTCTTTTCTCTCCAGAGGGATCATGTGCCTGTTCCCCACTTTGCACCCTAATCTTTTCTTTCTGATGATCAAACCCATTGTCTCGCACATGCTGGGCAAGTGCTCTACCACCCAGCCACACCCTACAAGCCAATCTTTGATCCAGACATCCAAATGGCCCTTCGCCCAGCCTCCTCACAACCCCAGCTTCGCAGATCAATTTGGTACCAATCTGGGACTCCAGATGCTCACGCTAACTCGGGCTTAATAGAGCAAAGTCATCAGCCTGGGCTGCAGAAATGCGTCCAACTCACTGAACAGACCACTAACACATCTCTGTGAAGGGGCTGGTGAGGCCCCCAGACCAGAGGCTTAGGCATTAAGCTCAAATGCCCATCTGGTGCTACAAATGCTGTCGTGACTTTGGGTTCCTCATATTTGCCTCAATCAAAGAGTTGAGATAATTTGCTTTGAGTCTAATTTATCTAACAGTGTGTGAGTCTGGGTACAGACTGTGGCATCTGGTTTGATCATAAAATTTCCAGGGGTTTCCAGAAGACCTAGTATCCTCTAGACTTCACTCTCCCACCCATGTCTGTAAACCAAAGGAACAATTATCTAGGTGTCCTGTTCTATGTCAGTTGGACCAAATAAGCCCAATGGTCCATTCCAGCTCCAAAATCCCACACTTCTATGGGCTTTCTCAGAGATGTCCACATCTCCTTGCATTCCCACTGACATTGTACTCCAGGGTTTCTCAAATTTTCCACACTAGATATTTAGGGCTGGACAATTCTTTGTTGCCAGAAACTCTGCTGTGTGCTGAAGGATTTTCTTTTTTTTAGCATCCCTGGTGTCTAGGTAGCATCAGCAGGTGAATATACAACCAAAGTGTCTCCGTGTACAATGTCCCCTATTTAATAGGACATAATAGAATGTCTACTGCTTACCAGAAAGAAAAGACTCCTACAAGGACTCAAACATAAGGAAGATGTGGTCCCTCCCAACCTCTTATATTTTGCCATAGAAGTTATTACAGCAATAAAATTCCCACATGAGCAACACCAAGTTTGGTGGGAACACAGATAAGAGAGGAACTAAAAGAAGATATCATGAGGGTTATCCCTGGAGTATGGCTGGGTCCCAAAGGATGGGTGGAAGGAAACAGAGTGACAGAGTCCACTCATCAGAGGGGACAGACCGGCAAGCCATGGAGGTTTTTAAAGCATAAGGAGAAGCACTCTCGGGCTGAAAGGAGTGTGTGGGGAGAGGAAATGGAAATAAGACATAAAAGGTGGGACGAACCAGGTATCTGCATGGTCTGCTCACAAGTTGAGAGCAATTTTATGGGAAAGACAAATAGCAGGCAGTTTTGAGCAAGGTGATGGTGTGGTTAGAGTTACTCCTCGGGAAGAGTATTCTGCCAGGGCCTAAAGTGGATTCAAGTGGCCAAGATAGAGATGCAAGGATCAGCCAAGGAACACTGACCCCAAAAGGTGCTTGGGCAGTGGCGGAGGCGATGGAAAGGAGAGGCTGACCGTGTACTGAGAGGGTGGGGAGGTGGGAAGAGTAAAGAGATGCCCAGGGTTTAAGCCTCAGTCCACCAGGAATGGGGCACCATCAGAGAGAGACACACAGGCCAAGCAGAAGGGCAAGCTTGGGGTGAGGACAGAGGAGAGTCTGGGGTGACTTCCTTTTGTGTGATCCTGGGGTATGTCAACCTCTTCTCTCAGCCCTGGTTTCTTTCTTGGTAAAACGATGGAGCTGGGCCAGAGGGTTCGGTTTCTTTCCAATTCTGAAATTCTGTGAGCCTGTAAAACTGCTGCCCAGCATTTGAGAAATGACACTTCTGGTGCTGATACGGATGATACAAGGACATAACTACTTCCTCACCTTGGATTCAGAGTCCCTGTTCCTTTTCCCTCCTTGGATTCATGGAGGACCCTGTTCCTTTTCCTCCCACCTGTGTCTCTGCAGCTGTGCATCCTCCAGTGTGAGGAGAAGGTGTCCCCCAGCCCCCTCTGGTCTCCATGCACCAAGATCGTGGCCAGGGGCTCCTGGCAGCTCGGTCCTGCTGACCCTGAACACGTGGTGGCCGCTCTTTACCAGCCAAGAGCCTCAGAGATGCAGCATCTGAAGCGAATGCCCCGAGTCCAGAGCCCATTCCAGGCACAGGAAGAGACAGAGCCAGGCATGGAGGAGGCTGGAGAGGTGGAGCAGAAACAGCTGCAGAAGAGGTTTGGGGGCTTCACTGGGGCCCGGAAGTCAGCCAGGAAGTTGGCCAACCAGAAACGGTTCAGTGAGTTTATGAGGCACTACCTGGTCCTGAGCATGCAGTCGAGCCAGCGCCGGCGCACCCTGCACCAGAATGGTAATGTGTAGCCGGAAGGGGTGCCCCTCCCAGCTGCACCGCCACTGCAACCCATGAGTGAGTTCTGGACAGAGAGACCTCCCACGCCCAGCCATCTTAGCCTTTTTCCAGCTCCAAACACACAGACACACATGTGCACGTGCACGCGCGCACACACACACACACACACACACACACACAGACTCCAGCTCCTGGAAGGCCTAGGAGAGACAGTCCTGTCCCTGCCTCCTGCCTACCTCTTCTCTCAGGAGCCAAGATTTTCCTACTTTTGGTCCTTAAACCTGACCACTCCCATTTAAAGATTGGTTACCATGGGGATAATAGTACTATGTTAAGGTAACTAACTCCTCCAGAGCTCTCTGGGAGCTTAGTTACTATGGGGACAGTTAAGTGGACCAATTCTTTTATCTGGTTGCCATAGCAACCATTCAGCTCGCCTTTCCTTGGAGACTATCTCTAAAAACCAATGGCTAGACCTAGTCTTAACCATTCACAAAGAAGCTGATTACTGCTTCACCTTCAAAAGTGGCTTACTTAATCCCCTCCTTTCCCTCTGCATCCCAAGGGGACAAACCTCCCTGGAAGTCATTAAACTTTCCCATTTCCTCCAACCAAGGAGCTCCTGCTAGAGCCGAGAGTTACGCTATCTTTCTTTCTTCCACAAGCCAGGTGTCCACCCCAGGACCTTGCCAGAGAAAAGTGGATTCCTTAGGGTTAACAGTGTCACCATTGAACAGGACCTTGAGAATTTGGCCCAAGTGAACTAGTAGCTTTTAGAATATGGACTAAAAGATGCATCTTCTTTCCTCGATTTTTGCTTCTTTGCAGAGTGGCATTTTTTTGTTTGTTTTGTTTGCCTTTGTTTCTCTCTCCTTTCTTCCCTGTTCTTTCTTTTGCTCTTCTCCTGCCTCCAAAAGCATGCTTATACAAGTACATATAACATGTATCAGACACATACACCAAGGACTCCATTACTCCATCATTCAATCTCACCTCTCCTTAGCCCATCAATGAATACATAACATTGGGTGGCATTAGAAACCCCCACAGTGGAATTTTCTGGAAATTTAAGGAAAATCCAAGCCAGCAAGTCTATGTACCTTAATCTGTAAATGGGAATATAGTCATATGCAGAGTCCCACATTACTCGTTAAACAGTCTAGAAACTTGGCCCAATGCAAAGAACTAGTCAGTTCAACAAAATCACCCAGAACATTGCCCAAGTAGGGCTAGTTCCTTTTTCAGAGGCATAAGAGAAGAAAGTCTGTGTCCTCTCTCTCCTTCAGCTCCTCATGCATCAAAGGGAGCCATAGCACTCCTAATCTTCCTTCAAGGTTTATCAATCTATAAACTGATCTTTGGTGCCATGCTCCGTGGGGGCCAGCCCTCGGTGCTCTCTGCAGGTAGGGTGCTTTTTGCCCTCACCCCATCACCAAAAACTGACACAAGCATCAAGCTGTGAGGAGGAGGCTGCCGTGTTTATTTTAGCAGAATGACTAACTCCCGAAGTCCTGCATGAACCTGAACTCCGTATGAAGCCATTCCATTTCTTTGTAAGCCACAGCTGAACAGTGCCTAATAGTAAATCTTTCAGAAATAGCATAGATTGAATTCTTTTACATCTCACAGACATTCTTCGTTAAAGTGGCTCTTAAGAGACCCCAAAGCCCACGTCTAATTCTGAGCCGCAACAATTTTCTTTACCTAAAAACAGTTGAAAATCAGTCCCATTAGCAGGAATCAATTTACTTGTGGGAAGAAATGATTTGAGCTCCTATCCAGGCAATTGGTTTTTCTGATTTTCTATTATCCTTTCAACTGCGAGGCACTGAAACTCGGCTGATTACTAGATTCCGTCTGCTGTATTGCTCAAGATGCAAAATTCTTGGTGGACACACTGGAAACATTAACCAGCTCATTTGGGCATTATTGATGGCTCTCCTTTCTCCTTGAGCAAATGTCTCTCTGGTCCTCTTTTCCACACATGCACAGCTGCTGTGTTACTGTATGGACATGTATGAATGAGCCTGTAACAGGCAGCTGAAGCCTTGTGTTTAGTCACATATGCACACCCCAATCTGCCCACTGCATGATAGATTGCTTCAGCTTCCTGCTACCAAAGCTGCTCTTGACTTCTAAGACATCCAATGCCAATCTATACTGAGGAGGCTGTGAGGGAATGTGCCACCCAGGAAGTGTAATGTGTCATAGGGAGGCATGGTAATGGGGTGCAGGTCTTGCCCTACGCAGAACTGTAAAAGAACACAACTGGTCTCGGTGACTACCTTCCTTTTCCTGGCCTTGCACTGTCCTCCCCTTTTCTGCTGCCTCAGGCCTTGACCCTTCTAGACTAAGTGGAAAATTAGCAGAGTCACTCATGGCCAGGTATTAGTGACCTGAGGCTTAAAGAGCACTTGTACTCTAAGAGAACCATAAATGAGGACATAATTTAGCTTGGACTCTGAACACCAGGGAAGAGACCTGTTTCCGGGGAGGGAACTTGTCACTCTGCCTTTCAAGTCACACCCTGCTGAGCGCACCTCTATCCCATTAGTCCTACCACAGAAGCAGAACTAACATGCAGGCGGGTGTTAAGGAACCTCTCTGGCTACCTAGGAACATCTTGCTTGGGTTGATGGCTTTTCCTGGCCTCCTCATTGCTCCAGTCACCTGAGGGGAAAGAATGGTAAGGTCAGAAAAACTATCAGATTTGCACTTTAATCATTTCTGTCTCCCCAGGCGTCCTGGTGATCCCCAAAACAGCATGTGTCCAGCCCCAGACCTGCCGGCTGGGAATCAGGATTCCTTCCTCTCCGAGACACTGAGAGCCTGCTGGCCCTGCGGGGTCACCCTCCGGCACCTCTCATCCCATTGTCTCCCCTCCCCTGGCATGGTTCCCCACAACCCTGTTGCTACATCAGAGTGTATTTTTGTAATTCCTCCAGCTAGCATTTTGATGCCTCCATCTTTCCTTCTCACCCACCGCTTCTCTCTTCTGGGGCTGGGTGGAAGGAAAATGAAATCAAGCCTGGGGTTTCCACTCATCACTGCCATACTTTGTAAAAGAGCTGGTGTTTTCAACTGATTCTTTGAAACAACTCTTTCCCCATTAAACTTCTACTGAGCAAATGGTTAATAAACTGGTTTGCTGTCTGCAAGCGGTGTGACCGAGAAGCACAGCCTGAGGACAACCTCAGAGCCAGAGCCGTCAGCCCGTCAGAGCCGTCTCTCCAGGGAGCTCCGTGTCCTAGGGGGAAGGTGGGGCCAGAGCTAAGGAGCAGGAAGTTGGCTCACTCAGCTGGGGGACGGCTTGGGCAGCAGGACAAAGACGAAGTACGTGGGGCCAGATCTCTGTGCACCCAGGTCCCAGGGTGGCAGGCTGCTGGGACCCCCGCCAGGCTCTCACAAGGTGGCAATTTGCCTTTTACGACTTCCCTTGGAGTCCTGACAAACCCTCCCATGCTACTTTTTATCTCCACTAAGTGTATCAAGGTGTGTGGCTGTCAGGGCCCAGCCAGAAAAGGCAGAGAACCCAGACAGAGTCACTGAGGAGTTAAACATCTACAGAGGGAGGTAGGGGGTGGGATCCAGCACTCCTGAGGGTAACTCAAATCTGTCAGTGCTCAGGTCCCTCCTACAAAATGGTGATTTGCGTATAACCTGAACACAAGCTCCTGTTCACCTTAAATCATCTCTGTCTACAATACCTAACACCACAGAAATGCAACGCACATAGTTGTTAGGCTGTTGTTTGGGGGAATAATGACAAGGGGGAAAAAGTCTGCTCTTGGTCAGTTCGGATGTCATTTTTTAAAATATTTTCACTCTGCCGTTGATTGAATCTGTAGACGCAGAACCCAGAAAGAGGGCCAACTGTACCCTAGACTTAATTAAATTTACCCCAGAGTAAATGAGGAACAGTCGCAAGTTTATTTGGCTTTGAGTTCTGGTGCTGGGAAGTCCCAGGTGATGGGCTGCAGTGCGCTGGCTGTGTCCGCCTGAGGGAGGACAGCGGGACAGAGGGCGGGAGCCGGACTCATCCTCTTACCAGAGGCCCAGGCTCTGCATACTAACCTACTCCCACCCTGACAGCCTTTGAGGGGGAGGCAAGGCCCCAGGGTCTCAGCACCTCATGAGGCCCCCACCTCCCGATGGATCCCCTGGTTAGCAATTAAATGGCCAAGGTCAGCAAAGAGTCTGCAGAGCAGCAGGGAATGCTGGGAGCTCTGTGAGGGAGCTGAGAGCCCCGGGAGGTACTGGAACCCAGAAGAACTGCGCCCATTCACAAACCCTGCGAGCTGAGGGCTTGAGTGCCCCCATTTTCAAGCACCAACAAGGTGTCTCCTGGCAGCCACACCCCACCAGGAGCTGGGGAGTTAGGAGGTCCATGAATACAGCCAGATGGGCAAGTCTGGGGAGCCCCCACCCCAGCTGCAAATGGAGAATGCCAGTTAACTGACCTGGGGGAGCTTTGGCAAATGGTGAGAGCAGGCTGATTCCAGTTGGGGCTTCCTTAGGGAGTGGGGTCGGGAAAGGACAAAGACAAGGGGGCAAGAAAAGCTACTCCACACCAGGCTTCCCAACCCGTGAAGAAGTCTGCATCTTCTCGGAGAGCAACCCCCTTCCTCTCCAGCAATAGCAGGGGTCCCCAGAACCCGCTCCCAAAGCCACCTCTGGTCCCAAAAGTGACCCACAGCCTCAGGTGCCTTCCTCCAGCTCAGAGTTGCAGCTTACTGTGAACAGGATCCATTGGCTCCCCAGCCCAAACCCCACACCCGCCACCCGGAATTCTCTGGAGGACAGCGCACCCCCTTCTTATTCGACACAGACTGAGCATTTAAACTCACATCCACGACAACTTCCCCCAGCCTGGTTTCTTCCACGTGGTCTTGGACTCTACAGATGCTGCACTCAGTTTTTCTTCAAGTTTAGCAACTGAAGGTATATAACCCATTCCCTGGGTGGGACACTACTTCCTGCGCGTGCACCCACCGAGGCCCACTCCACTAGGAGTGTGGGCCACCACGGCGCATGGGACACACGTTCAGAACCCCTTCTCTACATAGAGGCCCAGGCTTGGAGATGTGTGGGTGTCCTCAAAGGTCCATGTGTTGGAGGAAGGGACCTCGGAGTGGCAGGGGGAAGGGGGAGATCCTTAGGTCACGGAGGGTGTGCCCTGGGGAGGGAGGGAAGGACCCCCGACTCTGTGGTGTCCTGTCTTCCCATGTGATTTCTCCCTCCCAGCACAGCCATCTGCCATGTGGGGTTACAGCCAAGGGGCCCTGGCTATGCCATGCTGTTTGGACATTCAGCCTCTAAAACCCTGAGCTAAACACACCTCTTTCCTTTATAAAGCTAGCCTGCCTCGGGTATTTTGGTATAAAACAAAAATCTGACTAATACAGACTGATGTCTTTTCTCCTACATCCCTAATCCACTCCCTCAACAGACCCAGTAATATGGTCAAGAAGATCCTGCCCTTTGTCAACAGATGCGATGAAAACAGTCATGGCTTGGGACACAATCCTGGTACTGTTTCCTCCTGGCTCGTGACCCTGGGCAAGTTATTCAACCTCTGTGCCTCACTCTCCTCATCTGTAAAATGGGAACAGTAATGACTCCCTCCTAGGGTCACTACACAGGTAACCCACCCAGGCACTTGGTTTGGGCCCTGGTCAATGTCATCTCCTGTTAGCAGAAGCAAACAGATGGGCACAGCTTATCTAGAGTGTGATGCGTGACCAGCTGCTCTACACCTAGGACAATGAGCATTTCATTCATTCCAAGAATGGGGGAAGATGAGCACATGTTAAGCCAGACAATGTACCACTTTATTCCTTATAAAATATATTTCATATCGTTGGTGTAAAAACATTACATTTCACATTTTTAAAAAATTTTTAACAGTAAAAATAATACTTGGAAAATGGCTGAAGGGAAAGAAAAGAAGCCAATAAGACAAATTCACAGATGGGATTCAGCTCCCTCCAATTTTTTTTTTTTTTTTTTTTTGCCCCTGCTAAAGTCAGAACCTGGATGACCAGAAAGTAACAGGACAGATCTTTCTTCCAACAAATCAGTTTCCACACCCAAATTAACATTGTCTTCCAAGAAGTTCTCATTGTGACCACGTGGCCGTGCCTCACGACACTGTCTGAAGTCACCAAATTGCTTTCAGAGCCAGCTTAAAATTCACATTAAGTCCAAACTAAGTTACCTGCGTCCTTTTGGTCTGTACCTGAGACTTCCCCTGACCACGGCGCAATTCTCTGCATCGTGCATGGTGCGGATTTCACCTCCCAGGCGCAGCCTCCGCTCTGACGGGAACTCCAAGAAACCATCTAATAAGCAGACGCCTTGGATAAGCAGTTTCCCAAGATAGCAGCCTTGCAGATGGATCCTGCTGCACCTGCAACATCATCCTCCCGTCACATCTGACGCCCAGGGAGGGGCAGGGGCTGGGAAGCAGGGAGATGCACAGATGGAAAACTGCACGCCATCACCAGGTCAGCTCACAAACTACCCCAGCTCTGAGAAGGGACTCACGGAGCCAGACCAAGGACAGACCATGTGTCAGGAACCCACACGGCAGCAACAAGACAGCAAGAGGGACAGAGCGAGGCAGGCAGGAAAGACCGAACAGAAACAAAACCCCTCCACTGTTAAAGCGTCCCATCAAGCCCTTCCTTCTCTCTTCCCTTTCTGTTCTGCACACCAATGGCATGAGGAGTCTGCCTCGTGTGGAGAAAAATCCTTGCATCAGCTACACCTGCACGGTCCATGTTGCTGCAGCTAGGAAGGGAGGAAGGGGCCTCCAGGGAAGGGTCCCCATGTCAAGACACTCCCTCCCCAGGAAGATCTGGAGATGGGCCTGTCGCTGGCTCCTAATTCTCCACGAAGGACAAAAGAGGAGCCATGGGCCACCTCTAGCTGGCCAAGCGACAAGCGTCCATATCCATTTCTCCCAAGTTACAGAAATATATTCCCACCAGAGACACTCACGCATAAGCGTACCTGTCCCTTCTGCCACCGGCCAGCCCTCTACACCCTTCACAAAATCACATCCCTAGGCTGAGGGGGGTGCAGGTTTTACCACACCTGCATCATTTCCCACGTGATATCATCCAGGGAGCCTTGGTGATCAGGTGTTTTCACCTGGGACCGAGAGACCGGTCTGGATAACAGCCAAGGTGGGCACTGCTGCTCAGTCCCAGAGAAGGTGATGCATGGACACAGTAAGCCCAGGGTGGTCGAGTTCAGGCCCTGAGGCATCCCCGGCTGAGTCAGGGCCCTGCCACTCAGTTCTTAGTCATCCCTAGCTGACAAGGACCTAACTCCCTAGCTCTCCATCCTTGGCAAGAACAGCTTTGCACACTGACCCCAACTCCACCCGTCCCCCTGAATATCTGCTCTCTACAAGCACCAAAGGCTGAAACACCAGCTGCTATTCAACCCCACACCTCCCTCCCGAGGTCCTCAGTCTGAGCATCATGCCCGGAAGGAGTCCACCCTCCTCAACCCGCCTTCCACCAGAAGCGGAAAGGGGGAGATCCCTGGGACCGCCCCCACGAACACACTGTCTCAGAACACACTGGCCGAGAGGACAAAGTGTTCTGGCCTGTCCTCCCACCATGAGGGAAGAGACCGCAGGAGGGGTCTCTCCCGGAACAGCAGCATGTCCCCCAACACCGAAACCCTCTCTCCCTTCCTCCAGGAGACAAAGCACACTCAAGGGAGTGCCAAACGCACTTTTCCAAAAGCAAGTTCTTATTAGCCTTTTGGCTCAGCTAGCTGCGGACAGTCTTCACAAATCTCTAAAAGCTTGAGCTTTGAGAAGAAGCCATAGAACAGACAGCTGTCACAAAGGTCTTCCTTTCCCTTCCAGAAGCTGCTCAGATGGGCCAGAGGGCCCCCTGGGAGGCCAGCCAGACGCTTGCTGTCCCACCCACCCGAAGTCCTCCCTCCAGTGAGAAGCTGCCTTTGTTTTAAGGGAGTTCGTCTTGCTCACAGTCCTTTCTGGAAGAGTTGAGAAAGCAAAGGATTCATCAATTCAGCAGGGAACATGACTTGCATGTGATGCTGTCCCCTCTGTGAGACAAACTCATCCCCTCCAGCCAGGGGAGGTGGGACAGGGATGTGGGAGAGGGAGGGGAAGAATTCTTTGGTCTCTGGTTCGCTGTAGAATAGCCTTGGTCAGTTTTGGCTCTCTCCTATTTTAGGGGAAAAAATATTTTCAGTTCTTTTTTTTAAAAAAATAAGATGCTCCCCCAAGGGGGAGAAAGTGTTTGAAGTGTTACACCTTTGCCAGATGGGCTGGTACTCCACACTTTTGCCCGAATCTCCTTGGGTTCTGCTGTGGCCGGATCCCCATCGGCCTCACTGTCCCCAGCGGCCAGGTAGCCAGGTGGCCGGTGGCGGGCTCAGTCCAGGAAGCGCTGGCACGCCTTCTTCCACCGGCAGGCAGTGCACCACTGGTCCCGGTGCTCGATGCCATACACCTTGCGGCATTTCTTGGCCTCGCCACGGGCTTTCCTGCCAAGGGACAGGGACGAGGGTGGAGTCACACCCTGGTGGCCAAACACAGGGTGGGAAGAGCAAGCGAGGGGTGCAAGGGTGGCTCCTCGTGGAAGCCCATGGGTCCTGACACCAGACGCTCGGGGACATAAGCCCCCCTCAGTTGCCCTCCACCCACCGTCCCCTTGGGGACTGACCCTGGTGACTACACTGCGCTAGATCCAAGGCTCACACTACCAGTGGAAAAGGGGGACAGAAGCCAGAAGGGACACTGCCACCCAGACATCTTACCTGGTGCTGCTCTGGGCCCGGGATGGAGAGGTGACGACCAGGTGAGATTTCCCGGCAGGTGGTGGCTGCTGTGGCTCACTGAAGCTGAGTGAGCGGCTCCTGACCTGGGGGTGAGAAGCGGGGACGTAAGCATAGGCCATGAACCGGAGGGCACCTTCTGGGACAGTGGCCCATGCTCCCCAGCCCCTGTGCATCTTGCTGGGCCCAGAGCCAGCGCCAACACTGGGGGGAGGGTATTCCAGGCAGTGGGGGGTATCGGCGGCCAGGCCCAGGCAGGGGGCTGCAGAGTGGGGCGCGACCCTAAGCCACACTGGGGACCTGGCAGGGGTCAGAGCAGGACAGCCACCTGCGAGGCTGCTCTGCACAGGACTAAGATGCATGGAACGAAGGAGGCAATCACAGTGCCTCACTGGCACCTTCTGGCAACAGGTTTTGCAGTGCGTGACACCTCCGTGTGACACATATTTGAGACTAGAGCCCACCACATGTGGTTCCAATGACTTCCGGTTTGTTTCAGTTCAGGGTCAAGCACCCTAAGGTGCCAGTCCAACATGGCCTGGAGATGTGTGATGCAGCCCTCAGAGACACCAAGTGCTCCTCTCCCCTGCCCTGCTACTTCCTCTCCAGCTGCCCCACGTTCTTTGCTTCTTGCTCCTCTTGGCACCAGACTCTTAACAGGCACCCAGGGATGCACAGGGGTGAGCAGGGAACTGACCTCAGCCTCGCCCTGAGATTTTCCAGGTGAGAAACCCACTTGCCCCAGACTCCTCCGGGAGTGCCCTCCTCCCAGCTCAGACAGCACTGGGGATTCAAGGGATGGGGACACGAAGGGATCCTCATAGTCTGCGGGCTGGAGGCCTGGCAACCACACCATCAGTGTGCCAAGGGGACGCCCTCCAGCCAGGGGATGAGTGCTGGAGGGGCACACTCACCGGAGAGAGCGGGGAGGCAGTGGCGGGGGCAGCAGCCCAGCTGATGCTGGTGTAGATGTGGGGGGACACGGGGATCTGGAAGGACGGCAGAGCCTGTGGAGAAAAGAGCGTGCCAGCCGGGCTCCGGCTTGGGAAGCGCCCGTCTGCCCGGGGCCTGTAACTTCACATTCTGCAGGGAAACACAGCTGTGCCTAAGTGAGGCGACCAGAAAGCACCGGGTGCCCCAGAGCCATCGTCCCAGGAGCGACCTCAGAGCGTCCAGCTCTTCCCGGCCATCTCCCACACCCGTCTCACTGCCACCCTCCCCGTGACTCGGTCCTCACAGCGCGGTGGCTTCTGGGTGAGATCATGGCACACGTGGCTCCCAAAAGAAGCCCAGACACCTGAGTCTGGGTGGCCCTGCCAAAACACACAGCCACAGCACCGCCGGCCGGCGGCTCACGGGGCTCCTGCTCAGGTCTATTGTAAAATGCCAGCCACACTACACAGGCCCAACAGGGTCACCTCGGGCTGGTCCTGGGCCAAACCATGAGTGACTAAGTGGCCACTCACTCCACTGAGGAGGCAGCTCGGCCACTCTGATTGAAAACACCACTTTTTAATTACTAACTTGCAAACTGGCCCAGAGTCCAAAAGCAAAACCAAGCTGGAGGCACGAAAAGGTTTTAAAACCAGCTCGCAGGAAGCTGCACAGTACCCACCACATGCAGTGAAGACCATCCTGAAAGTCATCCCCTGTGACGTTCCCCAAACACACCAATGCACTACTGTGGTCTCGCCTGTACCCACAATGCTTCTCGTGCCTCTGTAAGACTATACTTTGACTATTTACTATAATTCATCAAAGCTATATACTCGATTCTCTCTCTACACCACGCACTCCACAAGGGCAGGGACTATGGTTATTTTATATGCAGCTTCCCTGGCCCAATGCTGGCCACACAGTTGGTATTCAAAACTGGGTTGTTTCATGAACACAGCTATAGGAACTAAGATTTACCGTAGGAAGGCCAACTTCACTACTCCATTGTCTTTTTTTTTTCTAACTGAAGATTGAACCCAGGGCATTCTCACGGAGCTACATCCCCAGCCCTCTCTATTGGTTTTGTTTTGGGGGTTTTTTTTTTGCTACTGGGGATTAAACACATAACCTTGCACTTGCAAGGCAGGCATGGCACCACTGAACTACATCCCCAGTCTCCCAGCCCTTTTTATTTTGAGACAGGGTCTCACTAAGTTGCTCAGGCTAGACTAGAACTCGTAATCCTCCTGCCTCAGCCTCAGAGAGTGCTGGGATTACAACCTTGCACCAGCACGCCAGTGAGGTAACAGGTCCCCGGCCCAGATCCATCAACCTGGTTACTTAGGGATTCAGCTAGATCGCTCAGAGCCGCTCAGGAGAGCTGCACTTCCCCTTCTCTGTTAAAGTAAGATCAGCACTTAGGGCAAAAGCCTCTGCCTGCAGCCAGTGGTCAGGGTCCTGTGACCCTGCTGGTTGGGGACCCGTTATGCCAAGGCTGGGCCCACAGTGCCCACACTCCTACCTGGTATGCATGGTCAGCCTGAATATGCCAGAAGGAGCTGGGAGCTGACTTGCTGAGCGCAGCCGACGGCAGGGAAGACTCCAGCACAGGGTGTTTGGAGCCAGAGCACTGGGCTTTGGGCAGAGGCAGAGGGAGGGCAGCGAGGGGCGGGCTGGTCACGCGGGCAGCAGGGGCTGGCTCAGCAGTGGGGGTCCCCGGGGCAGAGGGGCCAGCCGTGGCCACGGCAGGGTCTTCCTTCATCTGCACCTCTGTGTAGTAGAAATCCTCCTCCCTCTTGAACTGGTCGGAGTCCACAGAGTCCCTGCATGGAAGGGAGAGATTGCCAGCATCAAGGCCGTGCTGCCGAAACCATAGTGCAAGAGGGAAGCACGCGTGGGGACGGCGCCCAGGAGAACGCCCAGGAGGCCGCTCCCGACGGGTGCCGAGGGATTACGAGCTGCCACACAGCGGGAGCTGTGCTTCCTGGCGCAGCAGCCTGTCCTCTCTCAACACCAGCACTGAGCCCCGTCTCAGGCCCGCTGGGGTCCCTCCTCTGTTCAAGGCTGTGAGTCACTTCCTGCCACAGCAGCCAGCTCTGCACAGACCCAGGCCCAAGCCCGGCATCAGTGCCAGTGGAGACCCGGGGAACACAACGGAAGTCACCACTCCGCGTCCTGGCCATGGAATCACAACAGTGATTGGACCAAACTCCCCCACTTCTGCCCACAACTGAAACATCTCGCTTCCTACACGGCATGAAGTCACATCTGCCAGACAAACCCCCTCCCCAATAGCTGCATCAGCTTGAACCCACCGCCCAGGGCCTCCCCACTCAGGGAGCAGCAGCTGAGGTACAGGGGGCCATGTCAGCAAATCAGCCCTGGGCTGCAGGCCTGGGGAAGGAGCGGGGAAGGAACCTTCACACGGCACCTGGAAGCACCCTGAGCTCATACCTACCCCAGGTGCAGGGCTTTGACGTGTCGCTTGATGCCCACGATGGAGCGCAGGACTTTGCCACAGTTGGGCCACAGGCACTTGTACACCACCTTCACGGAGTTCTAGGGGAGAGAGGAGTCGGGCAACTGGAGTGCGTTCTCCTCCCAACCCTCACACCCGCACCCAGTGGGGACTTTGGCCCGCTACTGTCCTCAGACCCCACAGAAGGCACCAGGGCAGGGCTCTCTGGGAGCAGAGATGGCGGCCAGGGGTCCCGGGAGTTGGCCCCGGTGGCACAGCAGTATGACCCCGCCTCAGCTTCTCACGCACTGGCCCATGCGAGGGGGTGGGGAGGAAGGCAGGGCCTGGGGGTTGGATTGCAAATTCAAGCCCAGCCTGGGCAGCCTCCCGAGGCCCCGTCTCACAATAAAAACCACATACCTTCCTTTTGCGTGGGGCTGGTTCATCCAACAGGAAGGGGTCAGGATCAGTCTCAAAGCCATGGTCAGTTTGGGGAGAACCGAAGGCGTCCCCCAAGTACTTGGGGCTGGCCTGCGGGTGCGGGGGCGAGGGCGTGGAGACGCCACTGCTGCCGCTCCAGTGGCCGCTAGTGGTGCTGCTGCCACTGTCAGACACATCCCCACTCTCCTTCCAGGGGTCGCCACAGGCCACGCGGGAAGCTGTCCCGACGGAGAGAAGACAGAGGACACTCATGGGCTTGTCCCCAGGTGGCAGTTCTACCACAGCCACATCGGTCACCCCACTAACATGCTGGCTGCAGCAGCATCTTGGAAAGGACCGACAGACGGGCAGCAGGGTTATGCCTCACTGCATAATGTTAGATCAGAATCTGGGCAGAATCCCAGCACTCTGGGAGGCAGAAGCAGGAGGACTGAAAGCTCGAGCACAGCCTGGACAATTTAGCAACTTAGCGAAACCCTGACTCAAAATAAAAAAGGGATGGGGAGTAGCTCAGCTCAGCTCAGCACAAAAGCCCTAGGCTAAATCCTCAGTACCAAAAAGAAAAATTGAGGAGCCTCTCGTGCCTCCAGCCTGTGTTGAAGCTCCTGGAGGGAGCACTTCTCAGGGCTGGTGGCAGCTAGATAGCCTCAAGAGGATGGCATTGGCAGCCACCCCAAGCCAGGGGGTCTAGGCAGGAAGAGCCCAGGCAGTGTGTGGGATTTTCAGGATTTTGGTTGAGGACTGAACCCCAGGGCTCACACATGTTATGCAAGTGCTCTGCCACCAAGTTCTATCCTGAGCCCTGAATTTCAGCTTTTAAACTACCTGTCTGCAGGCTGCTTCGGGCTCATCCCAGACTCCTTCATGCCTGGGTCACAAATCCAGGTGAAGTGACGGTATAAGAGAATCTCAAATTCTATACGTGGAAGTAGCAAGAAAGAGGGGAAAAACCCAAATGTTCCTAAAAGCCCCAGTCCCTCTATAGGATTCAAGAGAGGTCTCTAAACTCTGGGTTCCCAGATAGACAGCCACACCCCCAGTGGCCAGAGTAAAAATCTGACCGCCTGTCTCTCATCTCACTCAATACTCCGAGCGGCCCTCTCCTTGTTTCCAATCCATGCTCTCTTCAATCTCCATCCTAGCAGATTAGCTACACTGGGGCTAAAAACAGGGTAGACATCCAACAGGCCCACAGAGGTCCACTCAGGACACCGGAGAGGGACGAAGGGCAGAGAGAAGACGACATCCAGGATCACCAGGGCCCTGGGAACGAAGGCCTGGTCAACCAGAAGCCCTGCCGCAGGGCAACCACTTCCACTGACCAGTGCACCAAAACCAGCAAGCCAAGGACGCAAGATGGAAAACCAAGCCGGAAGTCAGTACTGTGAACTCATCTGTAAGTCAGTGAAATGCAGGTGACTCCATCTACGATCAGAGGTTCCTCTAGGACACAGACCACAGCTAAATATCCTAGATCCTGAGAACAAAGTACTCTGCAAATGTATAGCAGTGAGAGTTTATAAACAAGCCTTTAAGAGTTGTTTATAATCCCTGTGCGTGCACACATACACACACTCACATGCACGCACTGTACCACCCTAACACACAGGTCAAGGGGAGTAAGTGGCTTTTACGCAGACAGCATTCATGATTACAGCCAGGTTATCTGTCTGTCTGTCTGTTTGTTTGTTTGAGGCAGGGTCTCATTATGTAGCCCAGGCTGGTCTCAAACCCAGGGTGATCCTCCTGCCTCAGCCTCCCTAGTGCTGGAGTTACAGGCATGTACCATTATGCCAAGCTATTAGAGAAAGGTTGTTATGTAGACCTCACTCTGCAGAACACTTCAAATAATTAGCCGCCAAGGAAGCCTTATGTTTCCACTGACGTCAACCATAAAATCAGAAATATATTGTAAGGAAAAAGAAAACTTTAGCAAGGAAAACTTGTCAACAAGGACTGAATTGCTTGGCACAATCACATATGTCTGTAATCCCAGCTACTCAGAAGGCTGAAGCAGGAGGATTGCAGGTTCAACCCCAGCCTAGGCAACTTAGACCCTGTCTCAAAATAAACACTTAAAAGGCCTAGAGATGTAGCTCAGTGGGAGTTCCCTTGGGTTCGAGGCATAGTACTGCCCCAAAGAGAGGGGACTGAAGGCACCAGGACTGTGGCTTAGCATCCTGAGACACTCATGGGTTAGCATCCAAGGATGTGTGTATACAGCACCCCTTATGAGGACTGGACTCGTTCATTTTCTCTCCTGGGTCTATTAACCCAATCTCCTGGATCTCCTAACCTTGCAGAACTTCCTGAGAAATTAAAATCGATTACCCTCTTCTGGGGGTCGGGGCGGGGCGGGGGGGTCGGGTCGGGGCGGGGGGGTGGGGGGCACACACCAATACAGCAGGCATGCCATACAAGTCTTCACCACTAGGTGTCGTCAGAGCGCAGTTTTTACATTTCCTTTATTCATTTTCTATCTGGGGAGATCACTTATGGGGACACTTGTAAAGGACACTTTCCTCCTGGTTTGCAATCAGAGCTAACTCCATATTCTCCTACAGGTTTTTCAGTAGTTTGCAATTCATTTAGGACACACAAACAAGAAAGTTCTTCCCTGGGAGTAAGGCAGGCCGGCTCTGTAAGAAATTTCCAAAAACACCTTCAGGTTCATTCCCAGTCTTGTCAAACGACGGACACCCAGCGATCCTCCTTCCCCCATATGACTGCCTAAAGGTTTGGGGCACCACCAGTAGAATTTGTTTTAACATGGATTTGAAGTCACACCCTCGGTTTTTATTAAGCAGTTAGATTTGAGGGTTCTGCTGAGTGGCTGCAGGTTTCAGGGCTGTAGGCCCCACAAGTGGATGAGGCTGCTCTCTTGTCGCCTTATTTAGGCTCCCAGAGTGCCACACTTCCCCACTCCCAGGGAAGAACTCACTCAAGGGGCCAGTTTAGCACAGGGCGGAGCCCAAGCATTTCCACAATGCACCAGGATGCTTCTCCCCAGATGGGGAAACTGAGGGAAAAGGGCAAACATCTCTGACACAATGGCACTGGAAGAGCCTCCAGAAATCCTAGTGTCGAACCGACTTTGGCATCAGCTGCTCAAAGCAGAGGGGGTCAGGCCCCACTTGCTCACCAGAGAAGTTGGCTTCAGCTCCCGGAGGACTCTGTACAACTGGGCTGCAGGACAGGGATGTCAGCACCATAGCCGCCATCATCTCGTCCATTTCCACTGCATCCGACTTCCTGGATTCAAACGGGAGGGGGGAAGCTTACTTCCTGGGCTGGCTGGTCCATGGTCCCCTCACCACAAGCCAACTTCCGGTTGTTCTCCCGGGCCCATCTTACACTTCTGTGCTTTGCCCTCAGAGTCCCAATCCGATCGGGCAGCACATGCTCAGGTAACAGGAGGAAGCGAACCTGCAGGGCTCACCTCCTTCTAAGTGGAAAAGGCTTGCTTGCATGATGTTTAGAATACTAGTAAGCTACAGCAGGAGCAGGTGGGTCCCCCACTTACACTAGGCTGGCACCCCCAAGGAGCCACCTCCTCCCCTGACTTCACGTCTAACTCTACAGCTTAAAATGGAACATTTTATTTGGGGGAGGAGAGAAGAGTCAAAACAATAAAGGATGGGAAGAAACGATGTCCACTGGAATCTCAAAGCACTACAATCACCTCTTCTTTTTTTCATGTTTATTAGCACACGGTTCCTACACATGATAATTACCCTTACCCTCAACCTCAACATGTCTGAATTCTTTTAACTTCCCCTACTCTCCTTTCTCCACCCTCCATCCCTAAATCCTCCTCCCAACTGCAAAGGATCTATCTCCCTCTTTCCTATTATCTAGCTTTTATTTTGCTCTTTAAATTATTCATATTTTGAGTTTCTCATATATAAGAGACACCATGTGATATTTAAGCTCCTGTGTCTGATTTACGTCACTTAACATTATGGTCTCCAGGTGCATCCATTTTTAAATCACCTCCTCTCCTTGTCTTATGCTAAAATTTAAGAGGAAATAATAACACTAATCACTTTCTTCCTCCCTCCCCCCAGATGAATAAGGCATTCTATTAGCCGCTAAATATCAACAGAGCCTACTACATAAGCCTCTGGGCAAATAAACTACACACTAGATCTCCCAGAGCGGGTCTCAGTGTTTTATACAGCAGTGTTCTATAAAATTTATATGCAATTTTTTAAAAAATCCATATGCACTTATATTATTTGGAAGCAAAATTAGATCCATCTGTAAGTTAATGCTACAGTCTTGGGAAAAGTCAGTCTGAAATAAACTTCTAGGTGGCTTGTCTTTTTTTTTCAAGGAAAAGGCCTGCTTTAAAGCTAGCTCTGGGGATGGAGGGGCCTCCTATGGCCGCACGACACTGTCTCATTGCACCTAAGAGTCAGTCTGTCACAGCGTGGCTTGTCTACTCGGAGGGACCAAAACTACTAAAATATACAACTGGGTTTGCGGCAGTTAAACCAAGACCACCAGTATATTAAATACACTTATTTATATGATCTTTGAATATTTGTTTGCATATACTAGAAAACAGTTTCTTTGCTGGCATCCTATTGAATACACAATCACAAATAAAGTCAAAATACTAGATCTGGCCCCGTGTGGTGGCGCACACCTGTAATCCCAGCCCTCACAAGGCTGAGGCAGGAGGATCGCTATGAGTTCCAGGTCAGCCTGAACTACACAGTGAGAGCCTGTCTGAAAAGCAAAAACAAAACACTGGATGGACTGCACCAGCACTAGCACTCACAGAGAGACACAGAGGTGGGGCCCGGCCACACTGTCTGCCTATCTTGCGTATAACACAATCCCAGCCAGCAGATTTTCTTTCTAAACTGGAAAAGATCAACAGACACCGACCATATAACACAGAAGCTAGGAGATATATTCTTGGGGCAAAGCCACATCATAAAACTCCAAACCAGGGGTGCCAGCACATGCTGCAATCCCAGGTACTCAGGAGGCTGGGGTGGGGGATCCGAGCTGGAGGCCAGCCAGGGCTACAGAGTGAGCTTCCATCTCAAAAAATAAATAAAATAAAACCCTACAGCAGAACATCACTCCCCATTCACTACCAATGGCTCTGCGTATCCGAGCCGGGGCCTCCACTCTAGGCCACCGCCTGTTGCTCTGTGGTTTTCCACTATAGATGGCTTTACATTTTTAAATGGTTTTTTTTAAGAACCAAAAGAAGGGTATTATTTCTTGACATGTGATACATACAAACTACATTAACTACATTGCAATTGGAGGGTCCACGAATAATGTCCAGCTAGACCGCAGCCTGGCCCGCTGGCTTACGACTGCTCTGCACCCCATCTGTCCACTGTCCTGGCAACAAGCCCCTCGTCCCTGCTGCCCCGAGGCAGCCCGCGCCGCCCCGCCGCCCTGCACCTCTTGGGGACGTCGATGTTCCTGGAGACGGGTCTGTAGGCCGGCTCCGGGGCTCTGCGCTCCGGGGAACCCAAGGCCTCCAGCTCCGCCGGCCACGCTTCCTCCGCCTTGCAGCAGATCTGCAACTTCCGGTCCAGCAGCCACACTATCACCTTGTCCTCCGCCCAGCTGTGCTGCTCCACCAGTCCCGTGCACTCCCGTCCCCCGTACCAAACGCAGACCTGCGGGGGACACAGCCCGGGTCAGCAAGCGGCAGCTCACCCCCAGTCCGGCGGCAGGTGGGGTCTGCGATGCACCATGTTCACTGCCTCGCTGGTCTAAAAGTCATGGTGCTGCAATCCACATGGCCCCTGGGTGACAGTTTCAGCAGGCCAGAGGCCACGGGACTGGGTTACTCATCTCTGGAGCGGTTTAGGCAAGAAAGTGCGGCTGCTCTGAAAGCAAGCTGAGCCCTCCCTTTCTCCGTCCGTCTTCTTGGCCTCCACCCTCCCGCCATGGGTCGCTGTCCCACTCAGGCCCCACCTGATGCCAGTGCCGCACTCCTGGACCTCCCAGCTGTTGCCCACCATGACCCACTGAATTCCCCGAACTCCAGTGTTCTGCGAGAGCAGCTGTAAACAGACTAGGACAGAGCAGATGCTCCCAGGCACCTGCTGCCCACTGAGCACCCAGGCGAGCCACACTGGGTCAGTTCTTCCCCAAACAGGTCCCTGTGAACTCTAGACTGGAAGACAGTGAAGCCACCAGCAGCTTCGATCCCCTGGGATCTGTGCTTCCACCCTCCCACCTGGCCCAGGCCCCTTCGGAGTCCTCCTCGCTGGCTGGTGCCCAGTTCATGCCCAGAACTGCCCACACCTGGCATTTTACCTCCAGGGACTGAGTCTCCTGGGGGAGAAGCTGGCAGGCCGGCCTATCCCACTGGCAGCTGCCTGACCTCATGGGAAGAAGGCCAGGGGGCACCAATCCAGCAGGGAAACAGAGGCAGAGTCTCCACTTAGGGGCCGAGAGACCGAGAAGCCCAGGCATCTGGCTGCAATGATAATATCAGGCCCAGGGGACACTGAAGGCCAAACTGAATTCGGAAGACACAAACCTCTTCATGCCCTGCAGCATTTGAAGCTAATTCTAAGGAGAAATCTGGCCCCTAGAAGCCCAAGATCCTTTTCCCTTGTTTTGTAAAAGTGCGAAAGCAGGCAGATTACAAGCCACTGAGTGGAGGCCAAGCTTCGAGGGGAACTGCTAAGCACCCCAGAATACCTGGCCACTCCCTCCTCCAAATGACACCATGGTGGAGAAGCGCTGGGTCTGAAACAACGGGGCGTTCTCCACCCAGAGCCAGAGTCCCCGGGTGGAGGAAAGGGCCTCACTCAGCTCCCTGTCAGAGGGTTTCTGACCTGGCTCTCAGGCTCGCCTGGATCAACTCACCTTCTGGCCGGGCTGAAAGGGCGCCTGCTGGAGGCCTGCAGCGCCCAGAGCCTGGAGGAGTTCCCTGGGCCGCTCCCGACTCACAGGGTCCTTGCAGGCCAGCACAGGCTCTGGGGCGGTACCCTCCGACAGCTCCACCTGAGGCTCCGAGGGCACCACGGTCCCTGAGGACCCCTCCGAGGTGCTGGGGCCCAGCACCCGGGCTCCCAGGAGCGACCGTTTGCCCAGGCGTCGGGACAGCACGCTGGCCATGCTGCTGCGTCTCCTGAGGAGGCAAAGGGGACAGTGAGTCTTCACCCAGAATCCAAAGGAAGTGGAGACTCTTCCCACCATGCCACGGAGCATGGTCAAAATGAACAGAACATTTAAAAGTGATATTTATCAATTTTTGTTCTTACAAAATGTATACCATTCCCAGGAGGGCATGAAGAAAATACTGATCAGCACAAAGAAAAGTAAGTCACTCAGGAACCTGGTTCCCAACATGATCTTTTTTTCTGAATAGCGTTTTCTGCTCTTTCTTCCTTACTGGTACTTACACACCTTGATTTCTATAAAAATGGGATCAGGGGTTGGCAAACTAAATCTTCCCTTAATTTATGGGCTGTGTCTACTGTATCATTAAATGTTATCCTCTGCAAACACACCCACGCAGTATTTTCTTAGGCAGATCCAACCACTGCTAATTTAACAAATCTGTGGTCCATGAAAGCCACATAGGACGCACTATTGTCCAAACCTCTCTGAGCTAAATCTCGGCTCCCATGCCTATCCATGTGCTGCTGTGGGTGAGGCTCCCAGCAGGAAGACATCCGGCAGACACGTAGATTCCTGAGCTGAGCTGGCTCCAAAGGTACAGAGAGCCTTAGAAATGAACCAGTACTACTCTGCTCACCTCACCCCTGCTCATGGTGACAAAGGAGGTTGGTCCAGAGCCTGACAGAGCAGATCCCTTCAGGTGACCCCACTGACCCTGGCCCTGTTCCCGGGCCTGTCTGTTGGTGGGAGAAGGACCAGCTCCCAGTCAGCTCACTCTGCCCTCCTCCCAGCCACTCGGGGACGAACTTCCTCCCGTCTCGGTCCCCAAGCACACTGCTGCTCTCTGTTGCTATAGGTCCTCTGTCCCCCCCCATTTGTGTATTCAGCTGGTATTTAGTTGAGGAATGGGTGTATGCAGAGTACCCCACAGTGGCATGGTGCTGTGGCTGGTATAGAATACCAGGGTTTTCAGACCTCAATGCCAATTGCTGCTTCCCCAGTCTGGGAGGCCCCACCAGGCTAACTCCACTTGTCCACAACTCATGTCCGAAAAATACAGTATATGTTTACATTTTTAAAAATTATCACAGTAAAAGATGCACTGCCATTAATCTCCCTCAACATGCTCCCCCTTCCTTGCAACACACTTATCCCATTGTTCTTGCCACTTTCTGAAGCAGTTCTGCAAGTCTTCTTTCATGAGTGTCTTTAGTTGCACTGTCCTGGCTGCCTCAATGTCCTGAATCAATTCAAAACATTGACCTTTCCTGGTCATTTTGACTTTGGGGAAGAGCCAGAAGTTGCACAGTGCCAGATCCTGTGAATGAGGACACACTGTCATGTTTTCCCAGCCTGCCTTTCCATTGGATGGCACTTGGTGGTAAGTGACCTGCTCACAGTATTTTTGATCCACATACTCCTGAAAGAAGACTTCCAGAACTGCTTCAGAAAGTGGCCAGAATGATGGGATAAGAGTATGCAAAGCAAGGAGACATGTTTTGAGCGGGATTCACAATGTGTCTTTTACTGTAATAATTTTTAAAATTTAAACATTGACCTTTTTTTTTAATACACCCTGTATTAGGCTCAGCCTCTCAAGGACAGGCTGCTCAGTCACATTCCTCCACATTCCTCCTCCCTCCCACCTTCCCTGGCCCCACTTCCATAGAGTGCAAGCTTTCTTTAAACAGCTCCCTAAACCTGCTTCACTTTCTACCCTGGTCCAAAAGGACCTCAGGGCTTGTTTGGGTCCCACACAATCTCCACATCTTCTGATTCCTGGCCTCTTTCCCAACTAGTCAGGCAAGTTCTGCTAGCAAGCATCTTTATAATAACAAACGGAGAATGGCAAAAATAACTAAAGTATAATAAGAAAGTTGCAAAAATACTGGGTAAACTGCCGGCTGTTTTCCCCAGCGTTTTACCCAGGGCCCCAGGGCTGGAATCTGAGTGGGAGCAAAGGACGTATCGGGAAAAGCTGGGACTCACAACATGCAGTGCTCATTTAGGGGGTTGGTGGCTTTACCCCCAATCACGCTGTCTCTGAATCCTTCACTATTGCCAACAAAAAGGAAGAAAAATGCAAGGAATAAATTTCTTATCACCACAGGGGCAGGAATCCAGATCTAAGCAAAATAGGATTTACATTTCAGTCCCCAGGACTGGTCGCCACTCAGTGGTAAAGTGCTGACTCCCTGTGCAGGACCCTGGGTTCAATCCCAAAGCCACAAAACAAACCAAACGCTGATAGGAGCTGGAGGAGAGGCGCGATGCCATTTATGGACATGAGGTGGCAGTACTGAGCCAGAGAAACAGCCAACTTCTGTTCTTGGCAAAAATCCGAGCGGCCACCCCCACTTTCCAAAGCAGGAAGTTTGGGGTTTCTACCACTGAAAATGAACACAGGGTAGCATTTCCAAAATTCCTGGGTTTCTAGGCTCCAGACAGCGCCTGAGATATTCAGCCAACAAACTCCCACCATGTTTTTGTTAGCTTCTTTCTTTTTTACTTGACTTTGTTGGTGAGCCTGCACCTTTGAAAGCCTGCTAGATTTGCGAAGTGAGCAAACCTGCCACTTCCAGTTTGTTCCCCCAACTCAGCTTTGCCCATGCTGTCGACTCTTCCTCCTGAATTCCACTTGAAAATACAGTTTATTAGGGGTTTTATTTATAGTACTCCTAAATCTTAATTTTTAAAAGCAGAAGAGAAAGAAGGAAGGGAAACTGCCTTTATTATATGCCTCCCAGGCACCAGTGTTCATAGATTGTATCTCATTTAACCCTCAGAACAACTTGAGATAAATATGGTCTTTGATTTCTGATAAGGCCACTGAGTTGCAGAGGAATCCGATTACAGAGGCCATGGGACTTCAGAATTTGCAGACGTAGCTCTGAACTCACATCTACACGAGGTCCAAGGTCACAATCCTGCCACTAATCCAGCAAGTGTGAGATCTCTCAACTCAGTTCAGCGAGTTTTTTCCCTGTCAGTGAACCTGGATAGAGAAAAACTGGCCCCTGACCCTCAGTCCAGATTTCCACTTCCCCACACATTTCCCTCCATGGACATCTCCTTCTCACTTGCCTCTTGGCCTCCTTCTTACAAAATAAAGGTCAGTGCATTAGCCTGACCTTGTTTACTGCTCCAATTCGCTGTTAATCATTTAGCGGTCAGGTTTACAAAGACCTTTATACACACACTGCCCTCCAGGAGTGCCCAAAGGGGTAAAGGGAACCCTCAGCCAGGTTTACACTGGTGCTGGAGCGTATGGCACGGAAGCGGGCACTGTGAGTGTAGGCCAAGGCAGCACCGCCAGGGCTCCTGAGCATTTCTCCTGTGCATCCACAGCCCCAGTCTGCTCCCGTGGCCCTGGCCCTGTAGGCAGCACAATAGCCAAGAGGCCTCGGGCACCCGGAACACTGGCAAAGGTCACCGGATGGGCAGGTGGAGGAGAAAGGTTGATGCTCGCTCCACTTTCCAGGCCCACTATGGTCTTGCACCTGGACGGCTTAACCTCTGCTTCCAGTCTGGCCCCTGTCAGTTTCTCTCACAGGAGCAAATAATGGTTCATATCCCAGCCATCAAAGAGTGTGCCATGTGGCTCTGTAGCAGCCAAAAGAAATTAAGAAACCACTATTTCAGGGCAACAATAACAGTATTTCACCACGGAGCCAAATGTTGCTTTGCAATTTTATATTCGCAACTTAACAGAATTTCTCGAGTACACGTAAACTCATGCTTTGGGCACATCAGTACAGATTCAAGCATTATGCATCTCCCCCCAACACTGTCACCCATACAAGGGGTGGGCCACCCGAGAATATGTATTTTGGTCAGTGTCCAAAAAGGGTTAGTCCTTGTCACGCTCAGCAAACAGCTCCTGATGTGCTAATGGGCCTTAATGAGGACGTCTGCCATCAGTTAAGCAACTGGAATGGACACAAGACTAAAACAAACCCGCTCTGCTGTTCAGAGTGGCAAAGTGCTATTTGGCCTGTGATAGTTGCTGGACAACTGCATGTCCCTGTGCTCACACACACGTGCACACTTTTGCACACGATGGTTGCTATCTCCTACCACCCAGAGACACTGCAGCAAGCCATGACATCACCCAGCGGCACTTCTAGGACACAGGTCATAAGTCAGAGTGATCTGTTACACAATTAATGCTTTTTCAAAAGTTAAGGAGGGTAAAAATAAATAAATAAATAAATAAATGAAAAGTTAAGGAGGGTGAAGTTTGGAGCAAGATTCCTATTTGCAAAAGCTTGGGTGCTTGCTACACCTCTCTAATGAATACTTGAAGGATCAAAGAAGTGATACCCACCCTCTAGCAAGGGCTTCTGCTAAACCTCAGCTTTCTGTGTATTTTAAGATCTCTACTGGGAAAAAAAAAAATCTCTACTGGGTACCAATGTATAGAACAGTTTCCATTTTTAGTTCTTGCTTACCCTTTTTGGTCTTTTATCAGAAAGTTACCAGTTTTTTCTCTTAAATCTATGTTGTAACTTAAATTTCTTTTCACTGTCATGTTCTAGACTCAATCAAAGGCCAAAAAGGTAGCAGGGAACCACGTTTCTTATTTTAAAATAGCACTCCATGGGGAACAAGATTCCCAAACAATTCACTTAGCAGTTCTCAGCCGGTATCTCTATTGCTAGGTGGCAGGTATACTTGCGGGCATATTTATGGTTATGAGCAACTACGTCTGTAGTCCTTCTGGTTTGCATGTCACCATTTGAACCCTGGCAGAAGCAAGCTGTCACTGCTACCTGGTCATTCTCAAGACTTTTTTCCCCTCCCATCCCCTCGGGGCGGCTTCCCAGGGAAAGTAAGATACAGCTTCCTAGGCACACAGACCTTTTCTTCCAAAACAGACGAAAACCTCCTCTAGCTTTGGTTAGCAACTCCAGTGATAGCATCCTAGACTCTAAGCTAAATCTTCTAAATCTCTGAATATTTATGTCAAGTCCTTTTCCACCATTTAAAAAATAGGTGTGGTGTGTA